ACACACACACACACACATATATATATATATATATATATATATATATATAGGTTGTGATTAATAAAATGTCGTCTGAATGCTGCAAAAATAAAAATAAAACTGACATCTTATTTTAACATATTAAAAATTAAACAACAATATCTTGACATACGAAAGAGTAAATTTTTCAATACAAGCGCCATTGATTTCAACCACGGCCTTCAGACGACTTCGAGATTTCTTGCAACTCTGTCTGGATTTTCTCCTTGTATAAATTGGTGAATGCTGACATAATCCTTGTCTTCAGTTAATCTTTAGAGATACAAGGAGTTTTGTTAGTCTCTCGCTCAACTGCGGCACACACATAATAATCAGTGGGAGGGTTGCAGTCTGAAAAGTTAGGTGGCCGGATGTAAGGGGTGATATGGTCCCAGAAATTGTCTGAAAGTTATGGCTGATTTTTCTGCTTGTGTTGCATGGTTCATAGTCCTGTTGTCAGAGGTAAGGACTCCCAGCCGCAAATCTTAACTCAGGGCAGCAATATATTTGATGTAGGCCTCCCTGTTGAGTCTGAGGCCCTGTGGGAAGATAAATGCATAACATCGCCATCACTAGTAATCCGTTCAAATACTATGATGTTGACTGGATTTCTCATCCAACTGTTTCCGAATCCTTTGCAATATCTTCATATTGACACCCAAACACTCTGAAATATTCATATCAGGGCTTCTGGTGCATGCCATTTCCAAATTTCTGCCATTGTGTCATGGCGTTCGTTCTTTTTATTTTAACAGACGGTGCCCAAATGACTCTACACTACTTTGCAGTCGACAAAAAACCAACAGAAGTGCGCATGCACGCCATTAAATATATAATATGGCGACAATCTACCCATCATACTCTGTATATGGCATACCTACAGAAAATATCTGTATATATATATATATATATATATATATATATATATATATATATATATATATGTGTGTGTGTGTGTGTGTGTGTGTGTGTGTGTGTTTTACAGCGAGAGATCGTGTGTGCTTGCATATATATATATATATATATATATATATATATATATATGTGTGTGTCTGTGTGTGTATGTATATGTATATACATATATATCTATATATCTATGTATATATATGTATATATACATATATATATATATATCTATGTATATATATATATATATATCTATGTATATATATATATTTATATATATCTATATGTATATATTTATCTCTATATCTCTATATATATATTTATATCTATATCTATATATATATATTTATATCAATATATATATTTATAGCTATTTATATATTTATATTTATCTATATATTTATATATTTATATCTATCTATATATTTATATCTATATATTTATATATATATCTATTTATATACTTACATCCATGTATCTCTCTCCTCTCCTATATATATATATATATATATATATATATTTCATCTATCTATCTATCTATCTATCTATATATATATATATATATATATATATATAGGTGTGTGTGTGTCTGTGTGTGATAGTGAGAGGGAGAGAAAGTGTGTGTTAATAAGTCTCTCAGAATAAAAGCATGGGAAACTCCAGAAACATCTCGCGAAGACCTATACCCTAAAACCTATCGAAAATTAATCCCTTACTTACTTAGTAAGACTTACAATGTAAGACTGACGTTTTTACTTTGAATCAAGTTTCATTTTCAACAGTATTGCCCATAGACCTATCTTCAAAACTTTCTTAATATCAGTTCCCATCTCGTTATTTTTGGTAATGACAACTATTTACACCTGTCTGATTAATCCGATATTCCTGAATAAGTAAAATCGGCAGCTGATCTCGAAAATGACCTCCAACCACTTCACTCTGGTAAGTATTGGTTCGTAAAACGAAACTGTTATCTTTTAGTCATCACAGAGAACTATTCCTGCCTTCCATCAACATGGCTGATTTTAAAGCACAGTAGAATGACTCATTGCGCTTTATAGTTCGCACGTTTTCCACTGGCATGAAGTGGACTGATTATACTGAATCAATTGTCTTCTGCTCGGCAAGTTGGTTAAATCTATCGTGTCAGACATTTTTTCCCCGACAGAATCGATCTTGCACATTTATAAATCTGACAGCCGTCCTTGCATTGAATATTGCCGCCATATCTGGTCTCGTGATCTTGCGATATATCTCGAGTTTCTCGACAAAATCCAAATTCAGTGATTTTAATATTATCGGTTCTGATCTGGCTTGTCGACCTCAGTCGCGTTTCTACGGCCATGACGCGTCTTTCGTCTCCTCGGAGCTATTTCCCATGGCAATTGTTCTAATAAATACTTTTCCTTAGTAAATCGACCGCCTGAATTTATGCTTTCTACTAGATTGGCAATTAGGTCTCACGGTTTCATTGCCGAACTCGCTAGATGTAACCTTAATAGCCATTCTAGTTGTATCCTTTTTCACGCACTTCTCGCCTGATTTTCGGATTTATTACTTCCCTGCCACTTCAAATTTTCAAAGTTTAAAATGTGTATCCCCTGATCGGGAAGATTTATAGTAATACCCTCTTAGAAACTCTCACGTGCGGATAACATGTCACCGAAAATCCGAGTACGGAGAGGTACGTTAAATACTTCTTATTGCTGCTTCTTTGTTTACGGCTTAACTGTTTCCAGATTATTTACAGCTAGAAAAATATTTTTAGATTATAAAAGGTTTGGGGAGATAATGATTTACTGATACAAGTCCTACTAATTAACCCATAGCTGGGGGAGATCATGCCTTTATCAACTGCATTTAGATGTAAGTGAATATTAATATGGTTACTTGCTTCCCGCTAAACAAACTGCTTTCAGTATCTTCTGTACTTTTAAATTTTCCAAGCCATCTTTCCTCATAATATTTCCCAGTAATTCCATCTACCTCTTTCTGATTAAAAAAACTATTGGAGAAATATATATGAAGCAAGTACAACAGTATAAATGCCGGGTAAGTATTCAAGTATTTTAATAGAGGACGGAAAGATCAGTACCGAAATTCGAAGGCGCATTGGGATTGCGAAAGAGGCTTCCCAAATCTAAGCAAAGTATTAAGAAACAGGAAAATGTCGTTAAGAATCAAATAAAAGTGCCTCTATGGCAGTGAAGATTATGAATGAACTCTGTACATATGAGTGTATGTCAAATATTATCCACACTTTCGCCATAAATTATCTTTATGTTTGTCACATTGCCTTCTGTATATGCGTGCTTATAGTTGATACAATTGGGATCACATTATCGAAGATTGAATTTGATCGCACAAGTTTTCTTGCTGTTGTTACAGTGTAAACATGGTCGCTCCGCTAGTAGTGTGTTACCATAATAGTACCAAGTTTAAGACCGCATGAGCAGACGGCAGTGACACAAAACTCTCAGTTTGCATTAAAAATTTCCAGCATACTTACATTCATGTGTAATTGTACATGCTCAATTCGAATCTGGCTTTATAAATTTTATAAAATCTTCAGTTTGGAAGTTATCGACAGTGAAATTTGGGATTCAATCGCGTCGTTGGCGGCAGCCATTACTCGCGTTGTTTGCATACATTCACTGCGGAAAGCTAAACGCGGAAGACTGATCTTCTTGTCTAAATTTGCCTCAATTACTGCGCACGAGAACTATTTACGTAGGACACGCTTTAAATATTCTGCAGCGAATGTATGCAAACAACGCTCGTAATGGCTGCCCGGGACGTGAATGAATCGGAAATTTCACTGTCTGTAACTCCAAAACGGTGGATTTTATCAAAATTATCAAGCCAGATTCGAATGGAGCATGCACAATTCAACATAAATCTAAGTATTCTGGATATTTTTAAGGCGAACGTAGCGCGGGTGCTAAACTGCAATTAACCCTAATGATATGTTATCGCGAAAATCCACATATTTTTTTTCTTTTACTTACCGTCATAGATAATCTCTCTTAAAACTTACTCGTTGATCACGTGTTCAGTAGAAAGACGTCTCTCCGTAAAACCTCTTTAAATGAACAGTTCTCATTTTGACTGAACTTTAGTTGCAATTTATTAAGCTCACTTTGCATTTTTACAAAGTTGCAAATATTGTGTGTCCCCGCTAGAAATACGCACCGAGCTTCTTTTTTTTTTTTTTTTTTTTTAAGAATTTCACCCCAAGCAAGGTGGGCAGCCACTAGGACGTAAGTGGTTACATAAAATTTAGAACAAGATCAGATAGGAGTGATAGAAGAAAGGATGAGGGTAGTGGATAGATCAAGGCAACTGGAGATGTCGATTGACATTACACTTGAATAGCTGGAAATTATAGCTCACAGGGAAACAGGCTGTTCAAGAAGGCATTTTAAAAATTTTAATGTTTCATCACATGTTCGGAACTTCGTGAACTATTCCGTACCGTCGCTGGTAACTTTGAAAATAAAATTTTCACAATGCCACACTTGCCTCGCCTTCAGCTGTGGCCGTATTTATTCTATTCTTTCCTTTTTCAATATTCATCTTGCACAAGAAATGCCCGAGACACGTGTAGCACAACGTTAAAATATGTGAAAAACCATTATCTGTTAGAATGTCACATGTGTTAGATACCTGAAGGCGTTTCTAGCACCTAACGATCAACCTGTCACAAGGGCAAGTCAGTTGTAGGGAAAGCAGTTAAAAGGAACCATATTTGCTTGTCTTTAGTTACATTCACCGTTCAGTTCATCTCTGCTGTATTCTGCTTTTAGAACTTATGGACAAAACAAGGTTTCACTATCCTCGTAGGCAATGTGGAACTTCTGATTCTTTTTATGTTTTCTTTAAACAGACTGGAAGAATTTTCATTTTGCTTCTTGCATTAATTCTGTCCAATTGCATTCTTTGAATAAATCTTTTCCCCTCGGGTAATTCTTTCTCTACCAGACTTTCATAATGTTGCTTTCTTTTCATCTTTTTCACAAAGTATTATTTCTCCTTTCTTCATACTTCTCTCCTCCGTTTTTTTTCCTTCCTAGCTCACGGCCACATCACGTTGAAACACTGGTCCCTATACGATCACCGAAGTTAAGCAACGTCGAACCTTGTTACTACTTATATGGGTGACCTCTTGGGAAATATCAGAGTGCTGTAAGCTTGGATATGCGTCTAGTTTAAGGAATAGTGGAGTTTTTAATCGAAGAACCGTGTTCCAATCCCATTTGGGTTAATTATATTCAATATCCCACGCACGAGGAATATATGTGGCACAAGGCCGAGTTTAAAGTGGGTTTCTCCGAGCCTGTAGGCTCGGTCAAAAATATACCATTTGAAACCGCCTAGACGGGTTCAGGGTCTGTCTACCTCCCCGGACGAAACCTTGCCCTTGAAAAAGGTATGAATCTATTTCATCTCCTCAAGCTATGGGTTAATTAGTATTACTTGTATCACTGTATTATTATCTATAAGAAATTCCTACAAAATGTGGCATCAAATGACCTGCTAATGGTTGATAAGCCGGAGAAAACGACACAATCATTTTATTTCCTTCCTTTTGTCTTTTAAAACCATGTTTTCTATCCCTTTTGCTAATACTTCACATTTTTCTAAGTTATCACTCTTTTTCTGCATCTTCCATTGTTCACAAATCCCTATATAATATTTTTCGCTTCTATTTAATCTCCTTGTTTTCTTTTCAACTTACTCAAATTTATTTTACCTACCAACATTTGGAGGTAATTTAATACGTATCCTTGCGGGATGCAGAATAGGTAAGCATATTTAAACATCTGAGTTAGCCTATTGCATTCTATTTCGTTTACATACCCTTGGGAAGATCATGACCTCCCCTCTCTGCTCCACATCCTTCAGTTAGGGGTTAATTAGGAGTGTAGACTAGGTTCTCTAGGCTTGAGTAGCAACCAGTTTAAGAGAAAGAGAACTCATTTCCAGACCATTGAGAATACAATGGTAAACCATTCCACTATATTTTCCAAAACTACATGACTATTCAAAGATAATCACAAAGTGGTATATATGTAGTCATGATCACCTCCGACCTAAAAGGACATGACATCTAAAAGAGAAGAAAAATGACTGAATATTTTATTGTTTTATCCACACAACTGTCTATTCTATACGGTTCGGACATTTTTGTGTTCATATCTAGTGGATCGCCTCTATGTAAGCAATATGGCAACTCTTAGCTGGGACAGTATTTATATTAGTCGGACTATTGTCCTCATCTTTGTCGCCATATTTGTCACAACGTTTCGGCCGTTGTACGCTCCATCCTTCTTCAGGTGGTTGGAATTTCGAACTGAACACTTTATTTCGATCACTGGGGTAGACTGTTCTAGTTCCACGTGCCATGTGTGATGGATGTCAGTTATCATGTTGAGATCATAGACAGGGAACACCATTGGAAAATTCGTAAACTTAAGGAATCAGCACATATGCTAGGCCACAAAAATCTCATGAGTCGACCAAGCATAGAAATAAATACAATATGTGAACCAGTAATAAGGAGTGCCAGAGAAAAACAATGATAACAAAGTTGCAATATGAACTCTAGTAAAGACATGCAATGATAACAGCAAAATTGCAATATGAGCACTGGTAAAAATGATGCTGAAAACATTAGGTTTATAATACTCAGAAGTTCATATCCAGATGTCCTCAAGGACACATGGCACAGTGGATAAAGGCGTTGGTTAGATCCAGTGACAGACCCAAAGAAACTCATTTACTTGTAGCGAAAATCTTATTTTCCATTCCATAACCAAAGCCAACATTGTAATCCTACCCGTTGCTATTTCCATGGCAAATTTTCAGAGTTCATTTTTTTAAATCATTTCACACCAAGCACGGCGATAAAGTTATTAAGATGTAAGGGGTTCCTGAAAGGGAGAGCAAGGGAGAGCAAGTGAGACAGGACAATAAAAGGCCAGATTTCAAGGAGACAGATTATGAGGATTTACGTCGCATCTATTTTTTTTTAAAGACCTTAATTGACAGGAAGCAAGAAACCAAAAAAGAGTTATACAGATGAGAATTGCGAGCTATAAAGCTTTTAGAATAGAGTTTACGGTTAAATCTAGAAATTTAAAATGAAAAAGCTTGGGACCTAGTTGCCAATCTACTATAAATACATGAAATCGAGGTACTAAAGAGGAAATCTCACCACAACAATTGTCATGAATATATTTAAAGAAAGCAAAGGTATGCTACAATACGGTAGTAAAAATATGAGTGAAGCCGAAATGCTGTATCAGGGCCGATAACATTGCAGATTCTTTAAATTTTGTCAAGAGTGTTTTGATAGCATCACAATGCTATTTTTTAGTGACATATGTTAAAAATATTTCAGTTGGGAAGGGGACGTCATGCTATTTGTATAGGGTCGAATCACCCTAATTTCTTTCATTTTCCAACTCCAAGAAGAAAGTTTTACTAAAATAGCTTTTTCGCTAAGAATTGCACATTTTGGAACAGAATCCATTGCGTTTGCTTGCATGAATACTTCAGTCTTGACATCATGTCAAAGGTTAAACGTTACCTGTGCTCCTTTAGCCTATCATTTCTCATCCTATCATCTTGTTTCGTTCAAGTCCCACTTATACTTCATCTTTAAAATTCCTGACTGTAACCCTCTACTCTGAGCGGCTTATGAGCCTATTTGTGAAAATGAGTTAGACAAAAGTATTGTTTTTCGTTTTATCAGTCAGTTATATTTTAATTTTAATACAGCTTTCATTCCTCCCTGAAAACGACCATGTTTTTTTTTGCCTCTTTTTATTTTCCAAATAAATGTCTTTTTCTATTTCTCCCATCTAACGTGCACAGCTCACTTTTAAAATATCCAATTTTTTCTATCGAAATTTCATACTCACTTATTTACTCCTTTTTCTTTTGATTGCATTTGTTCACTTTGACGCATTTTTCATTTATTTATTTGTTTATTCATCTCTTTCCACATTCTTTATATCCTAAATGCACAGTATTAATGCTAGCAGCTACGAGAGCTAACAGAGAATAACTGCACATCAGGCAGTTCAGTTTTGGGATAGTGGCAGTGCACTCAATTTGAAAGTTGTAGTTTGACATGATAAATAATGACATAAAAAATTTTGAGGAAACGAGTTCAAAAATTACATTTACGTTCAAAATCGTAGCGTTGGAATTTCATTCTGTTGATCAGTGAAAATCTTATCGCACGGCCTTATAAAATTTATAATTTACTGAAGCTTCACAAATTGTATATGGACAAGATACAAGACACAGGCACATTACTAAATCATTATGCCATCAAATAAGACCCTCATTTACTTTAAAGCGTAATTACACTGAACAATTTAGCTATATTGCGAGGTTATGTTATACGGTGCAAACATTTAGTGCGATTTTCAATAAACTATGCAAATTTAAAACATTTTGTCACGAGTACGCAGAAGTATTATGGGGTGATATACGCTTTTATATAATTTTTGTTTTTGTTAATTATGATCTTATCTTATTCATTGAAAATACCTTCTTTGTAATCTTTTACATTTTTACACCATTTTTACTTATCGAATAGAGGGATAAAATTTCATATTTTGTTTGCGGGGATTGATAATTGGAATACTATTTTGAATATATTTTCCATTCTATATAGCTAATACAAAAGACATCAAATTTATTTAGATTTATTCTTGAAATATTAAAATTTAGTAGTCAGTTTGTAAGCAAAAACCTGTGGAAATTACGTATGTCTGTAGATTTTTTTCGGGCGATCTTTAAAGCTCAAAAATTGATAAAAGCTATGAATCTCATGTTTGGTGTTACGACTTAGCTATCACTGTGTGCAATGTTGATTTTCTAAAACAAAATGAACTATCAACCTGCCCTACTGCACAAATGTATCTGACATCTGATCACACACACACACACACACACACACATATATATATATATATATATATATATATATATATATATATTATAAATTAATTGATTTAAAATATGTTTTTTTTCGCTACACAGTTCTAACCATGTTTCAAAAATGGAAGCTAAAAGCTTCGAATTTAATTTTGTAATTAAATTAAAGACATTAGTTCCATTTCATCCTCAAGCGAATTTTGGAGTAACTTATTACTTGGTTTTAAATGCACAGCAAAAACCTTAATTCACTATTCAAGGATACAGAGAAATCCATTCATCCAGACAAGGGGTGTTTGCGTGTTCATTATGTCTTTATTTTGATGTATTCGTTATTAGTTACGTTTTGGTAGCGGGTAGGGATGTATTTTTCAATGAATTCTGACATCCGCTAAATGCATGTCGTCTGGATTTTTTTAAAAAGTTATTGTTAACGGCAAAAATTCTTACGGCATTTTTTTCTATTTGTGTACTTAAAGATTTTTGGTGGGAGTGTTTAGGTTAGAATACGTTCCATTTAACTACGATTTAAAAAAATCACTTTTAATTTTTAATATACTATATTTCTTTTTTAAAACAAGTAAATGTATTAGACTCACTTACGGTATGTAATATATATATATATATATATATATATATATATATATATATATATATATATTTGTGTGTGTATGTGGTGTGTGTATGTATGTATGTGTGTGTATGTATGTATTTTATTCCGTCCGCTTTCAATTATTTCATTCCTTATTAGCACATAAGACTAAACATTAAATAATCTCTTCTTATTTTCTGTATACAAGGAGGCCAAAATTCGCAACACGCAATCTAAAATTATTAGTTATTTAAAAAATAAAGAGTATTTAATAGCTTACCTTACTAGTAAATCCAATTGACGATCAGTCCTTTTTTCTTTCACAAATTATCACACTCTCGATGTATTATTAGATATTCCAGTTTATTATTAATTAGAATTTCAATAGTTTAACACCATAGTATACCTATTCAAATCTGAAACAACTCGTAATTGACTCCACATGTGATCTCAACACAAGGCGTGTTCCCATCTAACTCCCTGTTATAAACAATGTATATGGTAAATTACTGAAGGCATATAGGGTATTTATTATTTAGGATAATACCGTCACAAGATTTTGACAGTTTTTTCTTTAGTCAGTAAGTATTATTTCTGAATTGTTTCTATCTCGAAAGCAAAAGAAATGGCTATTATTCACTCTA